CCAGAGTCTACACGGGGGAGGAAACCAATGCTTCCTCCTGCCCCAAAGGTCAGAAGGAGACATGGGCTATCCCCGGAATAGGGTCAAGATCAAGGCCGCAGGCTCAATCCAGCTTCCCACCTGACACTCCTGTAGTCCTGGGTCCTAACTGCAGGTCATCCCAGCCCGACTCCCATGACGCCAACACTGCTGTCCCAGAGGCGTCGGAAGAGGGAAGCAGGCAAGTCTCAGAGCCCCCCTGCCCGTCTAGGATGGTGTCCACGGGCAGGCTCTTCATGGGCTTTTCACACCTGCTTGTGCCCTGAGCAGAGCAGTCTGAGCCTCCGCTGTATGCAGGAGGAACCAGATGGAGGGGGCCAGTCCTTGCCTCCAGGACTTATGAATCAGAAGCCAAGCCAGACAGACTCACCACCAGCAAATTCCCAAAACAAGGCCCATGGGACAGAGGGTGTGCTTGCACCTGCTACGTGGCGCAAAATACACTCAATTGTTGGAAGCCCCAGCCACCATGAGGTTCTTCCTCACGCTGTCAGGGTCTGGGGAAAAGCTTGTGCCCAGTGGAGTCTAAGGGGGCAGGGAGGCAAATACCAAGTCAACATGGCTGGGGGCTTCTGTGCAGGGCGGGAGCCAGCCTAGAGCCAGGGTTTAAAATTCAACCTGAAAATACAATAATAAAATAAAATATTAAACTTGGAGGAAAGCTAAAGGTGGCTTTCCTCCATGGGCCGTGCTCCCGCTTGCCACCCGCCCTCACCCCCAAGAGTTAGACTCTCTCAGATAGGATGCCTCTGTCCTGGCCTTGTTGCCCCTACAAGTGGTTTGAGTGGGCTTTGGACCGGGGTGCAGAGAGTTTATTTGGGAAGCGATCCCAGGGGGCGGGAGTAAGGGAGGAGGGCAGAGGACAGAGTGAGACAGGGAAGGGAGTTGGTGAATACCGGGATGTTTTATTGCATTAGCCGCCCCTGTGGGTGACGGGTGACCCCTCAGGGACCTATTTAACAGCTTTTTGAAATATGACTCAAAACTGTCCCCCCAGGAGGGCAAACGGGGGAAACATCTGTTGGCTTCCATCCCTCTGCTGGGCAAAGGTGTCCCCACGGGCCTGCGTGGAACTGGCCCCTGCAGCAGAGGCTGGAGGAAGCAGCCGGCACCGAGGAACTTGGACTCAAGTGTCCAATCCAGGTCTTCGCCTTGCCACCTTCCCCGAACCATCAGCAGCATCAGGAGCCTCCTGCGGGGCTTTTCAGGGTGTGAACACTCTTTTCCTACAGCCCGAGAAGGCAGGAGCTTGGACGTCAGCAGGGGCGTGGGCAAGCTGTAAGTAAGCAGCAGGGTTTGAGGACTCGGCTAGGCTTTGTCCAGCTGAAGGACCAGCTCGACTTCTCTCTTTAAGTGCTTGGCTCGCCAGGGGGCCTAGGTCCGGAAGGAAGCGAGTCCATTCTGCCTGGAACGGCCTGAGCCCTCCCCAAAGCGCCTGGCAGCGTCGAGCCCCGCCCGGCCTCTCCGCACGCATTTATTTCCTGCCCAGTCAGCCTCACTTCATTTCTCAAGAAGCTCATGCGGGCTCTTCCACTTTCTCTCCGCTCAGTGTCTCAGCTTTTTCCCTGGGCCTCACCCCCAGGGCCCTCTTGCCCAGCGTCCAGCCCCAGACATTGGCACCAGCTTCCCGGGCCCCCCGTGGCTTGGCCCTCTCCAAGCCTGTTTGGGGCCCAGCCCAAATCAGCAATTACAAGTGCCCACATTTCCTTCTTGCTTACACAAGGTAACCATTGTCCATGGCACGAGGGAGGACCATCTGAGTCCATGCTGCTACCGAGAGAGGATGTTTACTCAGGGTCGTAGGCCCCACCTGCACGCTGTCCGTGTCCAGCCCCTTATGTGTCATACGCAGGCCGAACACATACCTCACGAACAGGCCCACACAGCAGGTGCAGAAAACAGGCATACGAGGCACGGAACAAGCTTGCAGACTCAGAATGGGCACAAAGGCGCGGAACAGGTTCAGCAAGGGCACACGGGTGGCCTACCACTTGCAGAAACGAGGCCTTCGCACGTCCGGTCCTTCCTCCGTTGTGGGTTCCCTCTCCAGGCCCTGGGACATGTTAGGATTCCCATTTGATAGATGAGGACACCGAAGCTCAGAGAGGTTCATTAGCTTACATAAGGAGAGGGGAGAAGAGGGGAGGTTGGTGGGCAAGGAGGGTGGGGGTGGGGGAGGGAAAGGAGGGGGAGGGGAAGGAGGGGGAGAGGTCCTGGGGAGCATCACTTCCGCAGAGAACCCTAGGGTGGCGGAGACAGCAGAGGCAGGCCTGAGAACATTTCTAGTCTTCCTCTTGGGAGATGGGGCAGTGAATTGCTCCAGGCCACACGGAGAGTCCCCCACTACCGAGCTGGGGCTTGGGGATTTGGACCCCGGGGTGGGGTGGGGCCGCCCAGAGGGGTGAAAGGGCAGGGGCAGAGCACGACCTTGAGAAACACCCACTGGAAGAGAGAAGGAAGGTTCTCGGCCTGGACTCACCCAGCGAGAGGCCAGGAGACACACGATGCACCAGAGACAGGGCACAGCTGCCTACCCCTGCCCGTGCGACAACCCACTACCCTGGCTGGGCTCCCCGGTGGGGGAAGGGATGGTGGCCGATCGCATGTGGAGGAGGCAGGAGCTGTTTGCCAACATTCACGGCAGGGCCCGGAGGCCCAGAAACCCCCAGGAGGGGCCACAAGCACTTTGTCTCCAGAGGCCAAAGGGTAACTCAGGCAGCCTAAATGGGCGTGCACGACCATCAGAGCTCAGGAGGCAGGCCAGGCACAATGCTTCTCAGAAACCCTGCATCTGAGTTCCTGGGGGGCCAAAGGGACCTCTGGGGTCACACCCATCACTCTTGTCAAACATTCCCACTGCCCTGAGAACATGGGTCAGAAGCGGGGAGGCCCTCCCATGGGCACCTCCCGGGACAGTTAGAACAGTTAGGGTGGATGTTGGCAGCATGTAGGGGTCCAGCCCAGGCCCTCACCGCCTGCTCTCTCCACCCCTTCCAAGAGCCCAGACCACCAAACACAGAACCACAACAGGCGCGGATATGGCCATCGTCCTCCGTGATGAGGGTCAGATCAGCACTGTCTTCTCCAGTGTCCGTGCCTCATAGCCTTCTCTGTCCCCAGCTGCCAGGCAGAGCCCTGGACCATTCTGGACCAGGACACAAGCATGCCCTGCTCCCAGCACGCTCCCCACGGCCAGGCTTGGTTGTCCTCAGTATCATGGCATCCCCCAACACCTCTGGGCAACATCTGGAACAGGACATTTTACCAGTGTCCTCCCTAGCCAGCTAACTTTGGCAAAGAGCACACAGAGAAAGGGGAAGACCGCCAATCATTCTAGACCTTTTTTTTTTCTGGCTCTGCCCCCTACCCTCAGCCCAGACCACAGAGGCCAGGGCTGGAGCTGAAGCTGAGCAGAGGCCAGTGAGTGTGGAGGGAACTTTCTGATGGGCGGTGATATGGCCGGAAGCTGAGAAGGGACGGCGCAAGGCCTCCTGGGCTGCTCAGAATTCTACAATCAGTGACGTCCTTCCAGCTCAAGACCTTGTGTCTGCAGAGTCTGAGATACGTGTCTCTCCACAGTCACTAGGGAACCAGCTTCAAGCTAAGTTCTCAAAAATCCTACCATGTTGGAATCAACAGGGCCTCTGAGATACAGCCCTCTAAGGGTTTTACGGCTGCAGACAAACCACTCCCAAAGATAGCGGCCTCAAGCAACAATGGTTTGTTCATTTCTCACACTTGTGGGGGTCGTGCTGGTTGTTCTGGAAGTCTCATCTGGGGCCGGGTCGCCGAGTCAGCTGCATGCAGCTGGCAGGTCCAAGTGGCCTCACCCACGAACTGTAGGCCTCTCCACGGTCAGCTGGGCCTCCATTCTCCTGCAACAGAATCACCTGGAATGCCTTCCAGCATGGCGGAGGCTTGAGTCGGGGAAGGGAGGAGGGGTGGAGAAGCAACCAGGCCCTTTAAGTGCTAAGCCCGAAACTGGCACTGTATCACTTCTGCTGCATTGTTTTCCCCTCAGAGCAAGTCACAGGGCCAAGCCAGATTCAAGGGGAGAGAAAGTGGACTCTACCTCTTGACGGTAGGGAGTGGCAAAGAATCTCTAGCTGTCTCTAAGCCACCACGGACGGGCCAGCTTCACCAGTGTCAGGAGTCAGGGAGGAGCCCAGGTCCGGATGGAGACTTGAGGACTTAGAGGTGGATGACGTCCCACCTCTGCCCCTGGGATCCTCTCCCGTCGGCCTCTAGACCCTCCCCAGTCCTCCGCACACCGTGGCCCTGGACGCCCGGCTAGCAGCACAGGGCTGGGTCTGCACAGGGATTCGGGGAGGGCTTGGGGTCCTCTCTGTACCAACTGTTGAGGCATCTGAAGTTGGGGTGCAGGGTGGATCCCTTGGATGTGGGATGTGGAGGGAGGGTACCTCCTGTCTGCAGAGGCCCATCCCACAGAGTGTCCAGCTGGGACCAAGCCTGGGGAGGCTGAATGTGGGGACAGGGCAGGCTCCACTCATCCCTCTGTGAGCGGAACTGAGGCCACCTGTCAAGGGAGGCTCATCCCAAGGGACCCCAGTTCTCACTCTCCTCTTCTTCCAGGTGGTCCTCTGCACAGGTGCTGGGTTCCCCCCCACACTGAGCTGGACTCGGCGGGCCCCGGGAACTGGGCAGCCAAGTGGATCCCCTGAAAGCCACCCCCCACCCCCCATCTCTGTACTCCTTGCTCTCATCTAACTTATTTACTCAGCCATTTGACAAATATTTATTGAGCACCTGCTATGTGCCAGGCACTGCGTTAGTTGCTTGGGGATACGTCAGTGAGCAAAATAAACCGAAACCCTTGTCTTCTTGGAGTTGAGATGTGAGGAGGGGGAGTGTGTTTATGGATAATAAACAAATAGATGAGTAAATGACAGAGCGTTGTATTCATTTCCCGTAGCTGCCATAACAAATTACCACAAACTTGGTGGCTTAGAACAACAGAAATTTATTCCCTCCAGTTCTGGAGGCTACATGTCTGAAAATCAAGGTGTTGGCAGGGCTATACTTCCTCTAAAGGCTCCCAGAGGGGAGGATCGTGCCTCTTCCAGCTTCTGGTGGCTCCTGGCAATCCTTGGGGTTCCTTGACTTGAGGCCGCACCCCTCGGGTTTCTGGCTCCGTCTTCACACGGCTTTCTCCCCGTGTCTTCCCGCATCCCTCCGTGTCTCCTCTTCTGACTAGTTGTTGGATTTAGGGCTCACCCTAAATCCAGGATGATCTCATCTCCAGAGCCTTAACTTAAACACATAGGCAAAGACCCTACTTCCAAATAAGGTCACATTCTGAAGTTCCGGGTGGGCCTGAATTTTGGAAGAGGGACACGTTCAACCCACTACAGTCGTATTCTCAGGTACCAGGGGTTTGGATGTGGACATATCATTGAGCGGGGGAGGGGCACCCTTTAACCCACTACGAAAAGAAATAGTTTCGAGATTATCTGGAGAAAAAGAAAGCATGGTAATACAGAAGAGGGGGGCGGTGCCAGGGCTGGGGTGGGGAGGGTAGGTTGCAGTGTTGAATAGGGTGGTCAGGAAAAGCCTTGCTAAAAAGGTGATATTCAAGGCTGTCAAGGAAGTGAGGGGGTAAGCCTTGTGGATGTCCACATGCTGGGGGGGGGGGGGGGGGAGCATCCAGGCAGAGGGAAACAGGTAGTGCAAAGGCCCTGAGGCAGAAGTGTGTCAGCACATCTGAGGAACAAAGAGGCAGAGTGAGTAAGGAGCAGAGTGGTAGAAGGGCGGGATCACGTGGGGCCATGCCGGTCGCAGTAAGGACTTTGGCCTTGACTTGGGGTGAGCTGAGGAGAGACAGGAATTGTCTTTGTTGCCACAGCATCACTGTAGTTGCTGGGTTGAGCGTAGACTGTCAGGGACCGTGGGCTGGAGTGGTAACTCAGCGTCCCACTCCCCCCGCCCCAACAAGGGCAGCCCCTGGGCAACAGGCCTTTGATGGCTCTGGAGTGGCTTCCCAGGACTCCGTCATAGAGAGGCGCCTCTGATCCCCTGCCGCTGGACCCCCTGCCTGCCCACAGGGCTCAGGTTTCCCCTTGTCAGCTGTACCCACGAGAGCCTGGGAAAGTCAGCTTTCCAGAACGATTTCATCATTTTCCATTCGGAAAAGTTTGCTGCTCTGACCACTCCTTCCCCTGCTTCCAAGGCAGAGTATGAAGGGCTGGGACATTCTAGAGCCCAGAGGGGCCATAGGCGGGGGTAGGCAGGGCTTCCAGCCTGCCCCATGGCTACCTGGGACCAGACTACCCCATCCCCCAGCTGCCCAGGCTTCCACCTGGGGGACCTCCCTGCCTCACGTGCCTGCTCCCCACAGACTCCCCCAGTCATAGTCCTCCTGCCCTGCACCTCTGCGGCCTGCTAAGGGGGAAACTACCAGGCAGAGGCACTGAAGAAGGCTATAGAAGGAGGGCAGAGGACTTGGCGTCCTTCTCCATGACTTCCTCACAAAGGCAGAGCCACTGTTGGGAACCAACCACCTGCCTTCACTTCTAAGGTAAGTGGAAACTTCCCTTAGCATCTCTGGATCACAAGGTATTCCCCTCCATGATGTCCCTCCCTCCCATTGCCATTGTGAGGTCTGTCAGTGCATAGTGTCTGACAGAGTTTGCAGAGCCTGTCAGCATTTGCAGAACCCGCTGGGTTTGCAGAGCCTATTGGGGTTTGCAGAGCCTGGTGGGTTTGCAGAGCCTATCAGCATTTGCAGAGCCTCCTTGGTCACAGAACCTGTTGCTATTTGCTGAGATTGTATCCTTTTGTTCCTCCAGGCAGGCCTCACCCATTGCACAATGGTGGCTAGTGAAGTTACCTCTCCTCCCTTCTCTGCCCTGCCCCATACCCCTCTCTGAGGTCTCCCCAAGTGTCCACAGGTTATTTTCCCAAAGGCCCCAAGACACAGACCTCCAGAAACCCCACAGCCAATCCTCACACTCACCAGTGGAACTATATAATCCGGAGTCTGTGGAGCTGGATGGAGCTCTATCCCCACACGAACAGAGGACGAGCTCGGCTCCTAAAAAGAACATATGATTTGAGGCCAAGCACTGTCACTTCCTAGCTATGGGGTTTGGGCATCCTCTCAAGTTTCTGAGTCTCAGTTTCATCACCTATTAAAATGGGGACGCATAGCGACATGTGGCTGGATGAGATTCCCTGGACGCAATTAATGGGAGAAGACTGAATAAATCAAATGGCCACCAGTGATGAGCACCTATATAGGCCAGTCATGGGGCTCAGCTCTCCCATAAGAAAAAAATCATCAAGAGCTAAAGAGGTCCCAGGCATTCCTGCTCTTAGGTCCTTGTGGTGAAGATGAGCCTGCAAGGGTCTGAGCAGGGGGTTCACTTCACCCTGACCCTGGCTGAGAGCAGAAATACTTCAGGAACTTGAGAAAAGTCAATGTGGGAGTCTTTGGGCCTTGCTCTCCGCCCGGCCCCCCCCCCCCAGGCCGCCACCGAACTCTCAATGTTGTTTTGATGGTGAATGGGAGCTGAAGGGATAGGTTTCCCCTTAATGACTGTGAGCTCCCTGATGTAAGGGCTGTGTCTGCCCCCTCAGACTGGAACTTTCTGAGAAGGGGTCTGCTTCCCCCTCTCAGATTGGGGCTCCCTGAGATCAGGGCTCTGTCTCTCCCTCCAACTGTGGATCTATGAGGCAGGGCTTTGTCTCCTCCCTCAACCTGGGGCTCTCTGAGAGCAAGACTGTGTCTCCCCTTCAGAATGGGGTTTCCTGAGGCAGGGCTGGGTCTTGCCCTCAGACTGGGGTCCCTGAGGGCAGGACTGTGTCTCCCCTTCAGAATGGGGGTCCCTGAAGGCAGGACAGTGTTTTCCCTTCACACTGTGGTTCCTTTTCCCTCTCAGCCCCCAGGATGCGGGGGTCTAAGCATCAGCCTCTCCGGCTGTATTCCCGCACCACTGAGTGACCACCCAAGGGAACAGGGTGATCGGACCTGATGGACAGAGATGCAGGGCAGGGCACGAAGGAAGTGCTGATAAAGGGGCATTACTCTGAGCACTTGGCTCAGGACAAACTAGGATTGTAATCAGAGGGTTCAGCGTGAGGGAGTCAGTTGGCTGAAGTGTCGGCTGTAGGCAAAGCCCAGCGACAGGTGCTTTGGGAGAGACCGAAAGGACCTTCGTGTGGTGTCTGGGAGACAAGCCTGGGCGCTGTAGGGTGCTGAGTGCTGCAGGGGGTGCACAGATACAGGACTCCGGGAGAGAAGGTAGGACTGGGCTCCCCAGGGAGGCAGCCTCCACACAGGACACCCTGATGGGACCAGTCTCTGGGGTCAGGTTGAAGGCAGTGGAGCCGTGGCCTCAGAGCTTTGGCCCTGGGGAGAGCCCTGAAGGCCCCTCCCTCACCCCCGCCCACCCCCACTGTCTGGCAGCCTTGGTCCTTGTTTTCCTGGAGCTTGTCCTCCCCTCCCCACTCAGCCCCACACAAGGCTGAGCCACCTCTCCTCCTGCCCCTGCCCAGCGAAGCCCTGGCTGGTGCTGGGGAAAACAGGGGGAGGAACTTCTTCAACAGCCCACGGAGGGCCCTTCGGGACCCACCTCCTGCTCCTGAGCCCCTCCCCCCCCCACATTCCCCACCTGAAAGCCCCTCACAGCCTGGGAATGTCCCACAAAAAGGTTACATGGAGTATTCTAGACAAGGAAGGAGGGGCCCTGGAGGAGGCCCTCCCTTCCCTCTCCTGTCCCCATACCAGGCAGTCGCACCCCAAACTGTCAGAGGGAGCAGGTTCTATTACCCACCAGGCAGTGGGCTCCAACCAGCTTATCCCGCTTCTGCTTCTCTCCAGCAAAGTGAAACCAACTCATTTCTACTCTCAGCCCAGCTCCAGGCTCCTGAGCAATGAGGATCAGGGGTCCTCGGAGGAGCTCCACTCTCACAGGAGCCACACTCAGTGTATGTGGATAGCGGGGTGCACCTAGAGGTGACAATGGTGAGGGAAGGTTAGTGTTGACCCAGTCTCAGGGAGCCCCTGTCTGAGGGGGAGGCACAGCCCTGCCTCAGGGACCCCAGTCTGAGAAGGGAAACCCAGACCCTGTTCCTTCAGGGTTGGTCTGACCTGGCCTTGAACACTTTAATCCCCTTCAGAGAGCAAAGACCAAGAGGTCATCACCTCCTGCCTTAGGTCAAGGTCCTTCCCACCCATCCCAAAGATTAGGACAGTACAGACATGGGGGCCAGAAGAAAACTTAGAGACCCCTATCCTCACTGGCCACGGGCAGGCAAGCTCCTTTGTTATTGCCCGTGGGGCCCCGGGCTATCTCAGAGTCCTGCTGAAAAGCATTCCTCTTCAGGAGGGAGTGGACCCCAAGAGTGGCCTCACCTTGTGCCATCAACCCTTCCCTCACCCCAGACACTGATTGTGGTGAAAGGCAGGCCCATGGGGTAAGGGAGTAGGGGAGGCCTGATAAGCTGACCTTCCTCTAGCTCCTGTTTTGGCTGAGGCAGGCCAGCGGGCTGTTTGGTCTGCAGGCCCAGGGTGGACAAGGGAGCCTCCAAGGGGAGGGGCTCCTAGGGTCAAGGCCCCCCTGGATTGGGACAGCCTACACGCTGGCTGGAGGGCCAGGGCATCAGAGCCTCTGCTGAGGTCCCTACAACCAGGACATGGCTCTACTCAGGTCCTCGGGACGACCACCCGAGGACAAAGGGCTCCCCCGAGCCTCCCGCACAGCTTCACCATCCACCGTAGGTCCCTGGGACTCTCCTGTTTAGCAAACTTGCCCCCAAAGGGGTAAGAGGGAAGGAAGGGGTTGTCTCCCGCAGGGGACCTAGGGAGAGAGGCTGGAAAAGATCTCCTCCAAACCCCATCCATTCGCTCCTTGGGAGCAGCGAAGTGGTGCAATAAGAATCCAGGAGAGGGGCGCCTGGGTGGCTCAGTCGGTTAAGCGGTTAAGCGTCCGACTTCGGCTCAGGTCATGATCTCGCGGTTCGCGGTTCGCGGTTCGCGGTTCGCGGTTCGCGGGTTGGAGCCCCACATCGGGCTCTGTGACTACAGCTCCGAGCCTGGAGCCTGCTTCGGATTCTGTGACTCCCTCTGTCTCTCCGCCCCCTCCCCCGCTCACGCTCTGTCTCTCAAAAAATAAATAAACGTTAAGAAAAAAATTGAAGGAAAAAAAAAAAAAAAAAAGAATCCAGGCGATAGCGTGTTCTGTCTGGGGGAGTTAAACGTGATCCTTGCATTAGATGATAGCAGGAAATTGTTTGTTTTGCTCAGTGTGGGAATGGCATGCTGGTTTATATAGAAAATTGAGTTTGTTTTTTTAGAGACACATTCTCAAGTGTCACGACGTCTATAATTGACTTTGAAATATTTTAGCGCAAAAAAAAGAAGCAAATCTGGCAAAATGCTCATTGTTCTATCTTTGTCATGGATATTTGCAGGTGTTTTGTAGTATTCGATGTGTCTGAACGTTTAGTTTTTCATAATAAAATGTCAAACAAAGGGGGGAAGAAAACAAATGTACTATCATGGGCTTGAAACCCAACTCCACCATTTCCTTGCTATGTGACCTTAGGCAAGTCACTCAACTTCTCTGTGTCTATTCCCTCTAAAGTTAAATAGTACAACTATACACCCTCTCAGTAGGGTGCTGTGAGGATTAAACAAAGTAACTAATAGGGAGTGCCTCGCATAGTGCCTTGGACATAGTGAGTGTGCAGTTAGAAAGAGCTGCTCGTGGGGGCGCCTGGGTGGCTGAGTCGGTTAAGCATCCGGTTCTTGATTTCGACTCAGGCCGTGATCTCACAGTTGGTGGGTTCGACCCCCGCGTCGGGCTCTGTGCTGACAGCTCGGAGGCTGGAGCCTGCTTCTGATTCTGTGTCTCCCTCTCTCTCTGCTCCCCGCCCCCATGCTCTGTTTCTCTCTGTCTCAAAAATAAATAAACATAAGAAAAACATTTTTTCAAATGGTTGCTTGCGAAATGAATGGAGAGAAGGCTGTGTGCGGACGGAGCGCGTTCTCGAAGCCTGAGCCTCGGTTTCTCAGCCTTCAATAAGCAGCAGTTATTGTTATCACTTGGGTCAACAGCCACACCCTCAACCCCCTACTCCATTCCAGGAGCTGTGCTGGATACTGGGCAGGAAAGAAGGCTGGTGGGTAGCAGGGACCCTCTTAACAGGCCCCACGGACACTGGTTCCTTGCAAGGAACACCGGTTAGTGGGCTCCCTCCCCAGTTGGTACCTATCCCAGGAACAGGGTAACCCAACCCTGCTCTGGCCACGTTGTCATCCAGCTCTGAGGACAGTCAGGGCTGGGGGTGGGCCCCCTCGACATCCTCCCCAGAGGAACAGGGCAGGGAGGAAGGAGAGCCCCAGCCCGAGGACAAGGGCAGTGGGGTGTGCAGCTGGTAACGGGAGAAGGCCAACGCTTTCCTATTTTGGGAGGTAGGAGGCAGCAGGTGGCTGCCCGGTGTGGGACATGTGAACTCTCCTGTCAGGGGCCATGTGGCCCGCAGCAGGGCAGGGCGTCCTGGCAGAGCCGGGCATAGCCTAGGCCCCTCCTGAGCCTGCCACCCAGATTCACTCGTGGCCACGGAGTGGCGGGGGCGGGGAGGGATCTGGTTTCTCCACCACAAAAGCATCCTCCTAATATAGGCTGCAAACAGAACAAATTCACCTGGACCCCACCGCCCCCCTACATTCTGCAGGGAATCAGGCTCCGGAACCCAAACGTTCTGAGGAGCTCCCGGTCTGAGTGGAGAGATACCACCTTTGCCCTCCAGGAGCTCCTAATCTGATGCGAGAAACAACCTCTGCCCGGAGGAGGACCCCAGGCTAAGGAAGGAGACAGAGCCCCGGCTTGGGAAGGCTCCAGTCCGAGAGGGGAGGCCCCGTCTGAGGAGAAAGGCTGGCCACAGTGGCGGTGCAAGGGCTGAGCGCTCCGCTAGGCCCACAGAATGGCAGGTTCCTTCGGGAGCCAGGTTATTTGGGGGCGGGCCAAGGAGCAGGCAACTTCCCAGATTAAAATAGCCTTCCCTGGGTGTCAGTCCTGAGACGTGCGTAGGTCCCAGATGAATGCTTGTCACACGGCTGGGCAGTCCAAGATGAGCCTTGTTTCCTAATCAGGGCAGTGTGGGAAGGCGGCTCTGGCCTCCAGGCCACCAAAAGCTATGCGCTACTTGCTCAACTTCTCCTTCCTAAAGGGGCTGCCAGCCCCCTCCCTCAGGAAGCCTCCCCACACTGACTCCAGCTGTGTGAAGCCCTCGGGCTCCGCCTGCCTCCCCACTGGTGTGCCCAGTTTGCAATTTCCCGTGGTCTGGGGCTCCCCTTCGGACAGGGGCTCCCGGAGATCAGAGCTACGTTCCAACCTCAAACTGGGCTCCCTGAGGGCAGGGCTGTGTCTCCCCCCTCAGACTGGGGCTCCCTGAGGGCAGAACTGTGTCTCCTCTCAGACTGATGCTCCCTGAGGGCAGGACTGGTCCTACTCACTACCTTGTTTCCAGTACAGTGGGCAGAACATTGACCCAAGACTTGAGAGCCCTGGGTTCTAGGGGTGACTCTGGTGTCACCTTGCCCCCAAGGGCAATGGCCTGCCTCGCACGCCTCCTCAGAGCAGAGATGCTCTGGTCACAGATCCAGGCTCCGACTCCAGCCTAGGCTCTTCCAGGCCCCATCTCCTGGGGCTGCTTCCTTACCCCTCTGACACCCCACGGGGTCCTGGGGAACAGAAAGCAGTTCCTGCCTCGGGCGGGTGGGGGGGCTTAAATGAGATAATATGCACGAGAGGCTTGGCGTAGTGCCTGGCAGTGAAAAGATAAACCAAAGAGAAGCCTAGTAGGCCAGTTCTCAGACCAACTGTGAGTTGGGCAGAGCTCTAGGCTCCGTGACCCTGGAGTCTGAAGCCAAGACCGGCCCTAGAAGGCCACAGAGTGACCCAGCTCAGTGGCCAGGCCAGGAATATGCTAAGATCCCTATCTGACACTCTAGGAACAGGGCACTGTCCGAACACTCAGTGGTAGTACTTGCTGTCCCTTCTCCCTTTGCCACTCTCCCTCTGGCCACCCAGTTCCAGCTGTCTTTGATCGCTGTCCCCCATTATCCCCCGGCCTTTTTCTGTCCCACCACCACCACCATGTGGAAGAATCCAGCTCCCCTGTGCACGTGACATTTGGCGTGGCGTGACCCCCTCGGAGTTGGGCAGGGGCTGGGGACAGACCCAGACAACATAAACACGTCCCCAGGAGTTTACATTGTGGGGGCCAGGAGTACACAGCAGTCAGCTGGCGGCTGCCCCTGTTTATTCCCTGAAGGTTCACGGTCAAGGCGCCACCGTGGGAGGAGGGTGGAGGCAATCCTCAGGTGGCTGCAGCTGTGTGGATATCAACGTGTTGGGGACCCCAGGAAAACCTGTAGGCCTCTCAGGCCACCCCCTCCAGCCTCGTCTCAGCTACCCCTCCCCAGGGACCATGTGCTGGTGCACATGGGAGTCTGAGCAGAGTGGCCTCCCTAAGCCTGAGGTGAGGGACCCATCGGCCCTTCTCCCCTTCGGCCCCTGCCCTGCTCCAGGACCCTAGCTCAGACTTCAGTGCATTTTCTCAAGTCAGGTGGAGCCAAGCTTTGCTTGAGTCAATCATTGTTAATGCTGTGCCTCGAATTTTTCCTGGGTGTTTTACTTTTCTGAGCCCTTCCTATCACTCAGCGTCTTCTACATCTACTCTGTGAAGCAGGCTGGGCTGGCTGGGTCTGCCCATTATCTGCGTGGGAAGGTCGAGGCCCAAAGGTACACCTGCCCCCAGTCCCACTCACAGCGACCTGTGGTGCCTGCATTCAAGGTCAACAGAAATGATGGTCTCCCAGTGGCTCTGCACACTGATCCACTTTACAGATGAGGAAACTGGGGCTTACAGTTGCTCAGCTGGGGAAGCCAGGATTTAAACTCAGGTCTGTGGCTCACAATCTCCCT